GGAATAAAAGTTTTCACTTCCGACTCGTTAACCGGTTCGCCTTGCCGTCACCGGCAGCTCCTCGCAGTTCATATTGGTTTTTCAACCAAAATGTGACACTTGCGTAATGGGTTTGTCGAAATTTATGTAAGTTCTGGAGTGCATTAGGAGATTACGACCGACACGAGAGAGAAAAGTATATTCGCTGTCGAAATAATCGCGGAAAAGCCATTTTATCCGGCAACTTCCAACTCCACGACGCAAAATACATTTTCAACTTGCACCTTTTGAAATCAGTTACCGCGTGTCTCTAAATATTTAACCCGCCTACAGCCTCGAGCATTTCGCTAGTGCTTCGCAAGACGACCGTCGATATTGCCTCGCAGTAGGATACCTTCAAGATTCCACAGCGGGGGTGAGTTCGTCAAACCGATTAAGCTGAACCGTATACGTGCATCACGACGATTATCCCGACGTTCCTGCGACGTGAGAGCTTTCCAACTGACACTTAGGTCTCTCAGGAATCTAAGATCAATCTTTAGGTCAAGCATGCATACAGCGAATTGTATTAGAAATATATGAGGTTAGATTAGGTTGTATTAGAAATATATGAGATTACACTAATTTCAGAATGATAATAATTGATCGACGATATTTGCCAGCTGTATTGCTACACTATACTCTCTAGAATCGAATTTTATACTACAATGAATCGTATTTTTTGTTCAGTATATTTCTTTCGCTACCTATGATTTTGTAATGATATAAAAGAAAATTTTTAACAACTGATCTTTGCAAGTAGGTCACTTGCGAAGAAGCCAGATTGACTTTCGCGTTCTGACAATGAAAGAAACGTGTCAGCTACATATGAATATTGATAATATTTCAAATCTTCTTATCACTTATCAATGCTGATCTTACCTCAAATTAGCTGCGGTCGAATTCTGTCGTGACCACGTCGTACGATTATTGCCGAGCTTCCCGAGATACAGGTCGCTTTGATTCAATTAGCTCTGGAGCGTCGATCGATGCTGGATTTCAGTTCTCGAGAAGTCGAGCATCTCTTATCGAAATCGAGTCGAAGATTATTCGCGCTGCATGGCCGATTAAACCCAACGGGAAGAAGCAAGATAACGTATCTTCCGACTAGAATGGATAGGTCGTCAAATTTACCCGCGCGTAGTTGCTGTCAATTTCCCTAAATGATAGATTAACGAAAGCTCTTCATGAACTATGTCTGTAATTGGAAAGATAAACCGCCATTAATGTCTCGAACATTTCAAACTAATATTAACACTCTGAAATGTCGCGCTGCGGCTGTTACCGGTTAAAAATCGCGACGCTTCGTTGAGCTCGGCGAAATCGCTGCCTCGCGAGGTCCGCTCTCGAAAGAAAAATTCTGGCCAGCCATAGCCACAAAGATTGGGCTACTATCGGGACCACACGAGGATAGTCACGCCCCGAAAAAAAAGGAACGACCAATGGGACGACTCTAGGTAGAGGGTCGTGCTCGAAATTAAAATATCCTTCCCACGTAATGACGCGGGAGATACGCCGGTAACGATGCATGTGAGTCCACAGGACAAGGACTAGGGTTCTTGGTTTGGGTCGTTCCCTTCGACAGAAAGGGTGGTCCCTACTCTCTCGACCCCTGGCCGAAGGGCTTCGCGAAGTACCCCTCGGAATCGCGGATCCGACGGACATATGCTCGAAGCAAGGGAGAGAGAGAAGCGTTATTGTATTATTCACGACTCCGGACCCCATAAGATAACGTTACCATGATTTTTAATATGACGGCGCGATTCCGGAGAGAAGGGTGCGGGGTATGCGTGCGCGTACGTGCCTTGCTAATGGGATTAATCGTGTTGTCAGGAGTTTAAAATCACGGCTGTGTTGTCTCAACTCTACCAGCGAGCTAAATAATATGGTATATTACCGGCCAATATCGAGGCCCGTTCATCCGTTGGCGGTTATTGCGATCGCCGCGATTTTGTAAATTAATTTTTGACGATGGTAAATACAATGTATTGTATATGTGAATATATAGATATTGATCAATAATAAAATTTTTATTAATAATTAATAAGGGAGATACATTTTTCTCTTACAACAAATGCAAAAATATACGAAAATTTCTCCTGAAATAAAATTTTATTTGATTTCGATCGAACCCAGAGGCGGGGTATATTAGTCAACTGATAAACGATATTTATTTATCCGTAAATATCCTCATGGTAGGGAGCAATCTGAAATGAAGCAACCCCGTGACTATTAATGCCTCAACATTAACAGTCACCGTTCACCTAATATCTGCGACTATAAAGTGCTTCGTTAGACGCATGACATTTTGTATGAATGATCACGGTAAGAAAGTAAGAGAGTATCCCATTGTATTAGTGTTTCGTCATCGTATCAAATTGTGCGCTGGCAAACAGCTCGTCCCAATCACGAGACGATCATCGGGGTCGCTGTTTCCCCCGCCGCAACAATAAACGCGTCGTCGCGCGCAATTAATTTTCGGGAGCATCGACAGGTGCAACTGGCGCACGAGGACGCGCTCTTGCAATGACGAGGCCGAAACCGCCACCTCTGATCGTGAAAGTGGATATTCGAAACGGCGTTTCACGTCGAACGCTAATTTTCCGCTTTATGAGTGCGGAGGCGCATCGCGCGACCAAGTACGGGGTAATCAAAAAATTAGTCGTGCGTGCGAAAGTCAAACGGAATATCACCCCCTCAATATCGCTGATCTCCGTCTGTTTGCCGATTAGGCTCTGTTGCATCGCAACAGCGGTTTTGCCGGGGAATCTCAATACAAATACCTTACGTGGACACAATGTATATGCATCTACTCAAATTACAGATATGTACGTATATCTGGCGTGTCTATGAACGATTTTGTCTATGAATAACGGTTTCCGTCTTTACGTGGATCAACGTAGCACGTATGTATCTGTAATTACGTATTTGTAATATAATAATAATTGTAACAATAATAATATTACTTTATTGGTCAGTTAACGGCACACGAGAAGGAAAGAGAAATACATGACAAGTAAAAAATATGTCACAAGTGTGTGTAAGCGAATGCTGAGGCAACAACTTTGCAGTTGATTTTAATATATAACTTAACCTAATTTAACTTAGGTAACTTTAATTAAGTCAAATTTAAAATCTTAATTTAATCTCCCTAATTTAATATAATCTTATACCTGTATCTACGTTACAGAGAAATCAGGAAGATATCCGACGATATAGAGCAATGAAGTAGTATGAAAAATAGTGTAAAAGAAGGCAGAACAAATATTATACAGCAATTGATTATAATAGATGCATTTTTTATATTAAATTTAAATTAAAAGAAGCTTCAAATTCAGATGTACGATAACGAGAATTATTAAATTGAATATACAATGCCTATCACATTTCCACTTATTATTTAAATATGTCGTCATCAATATATCTTAATATAAATATACGTAATTCGATCATACGTAATTCCTGTCACATCTCCCTACGTTTGATCTTAATTTATTTTTAAAGATTTTATTATATAACTTAATTTAATTTGAGACTACTAACAAAATTTCTCTCTCTCTCTCTCCCTTCCTTTCTTTCTCTCCTTCTCTTTCCCCCCCCCCTCTCTCTCTCTCTCTCTGCTAAAGTACAGCT